AAGATCATAATAGCACTACCTCACAGGATTCTTTATTAGAACTAAATGATAAAATACATGGGATGGTTACAACAGTGGCCAGTATATACATCAGAAGCAATAAATACATTAAAGCTGTCATTAATTACAACCACAAAATACACCTTTCTGCAAAAAAAGTCTGAACTTTTATTAAACACCTTACCACCTGAGAAATCATTCCTGAAGAATCTATGATCCTTTGATTATAATGGAGTATAACTTCATGGTTTTTGTGAATGGTTTCTCACAAAACCAATTAGAAAAGATTAGGCTATCTTTTGGGCAGCAAAGTTTATTGCCAATTGCCACAGAAATGCTCTGTCATGTACAAATACAGCTTATATTAAAAAATGCACAAAAGGTAATATATGAAGCATAGCCAAAATATATTTTCCCCATCAAATAAAATGTAATGCCAGTATAGACACATTGTTAGTTTTTGTAAAATGATTTAGAATTTCATTTTATTCAAATCAACAAATATCATTAAGGATCTACCAGAATCTCAGCTCCACATTATGCTGAGTAAATGCAAAAAAAAAAAAAAAAAAAAAAGCACTGTACTCCTCTTCCAAAGGATGATGCTGGGATGCAGAGGCTGACATGCATAAAACAATCAGAGTCACTAAGAGGACGAGTAGGATTAAGTGCTAAATTTCACGGCACAGCTCATAAAACATTTGTAGGAATTCAGAACAGGAAGATTAATGAGTCCGTGTACAGGAAAGTTGCTCTTAGGAGAAGAAAGGGGGAATGTAGGCAGTTTTTATGGATCACCTTGGTTAAGTTAGTTAACCTCTCAGAGTTATTGTTTCCTCTTTTATAAAATTTGACAATTTAATGCATGTAAAATGCCCAGCACATTCTAAAGACAAGTTTGTGATGGCGTCTTAGAGAATGAACAGTATCTGCCTAAAAAGAGAATGTTTCAGCTAGTAAGACAACTGTGTCATGTAAAAGAGACATATAGTCCTTTTAAGACTTTAGGTTCAAAAAGATAAGGAAAAACTTCCACAAGTAATAGCGACATGTAATACTATATATATATTAAGTATAATTTCCTGTAGTAAATGGCAATCATATATTCTTTTTTTTTTTCCTACATGGCAAAATAACTCCTTGAGTACATGACACTTGGTGCAGACTGAAATACTAAAGAATGCCTTCTTCAATGCAAAGATTCTTTCTTTAAAAAAAAAAGTGGCATAAACTACATAAATCTGTTTTCCCTCTTAATTCTTGTTTCTTGCTACACCTTCTCTTATTCAAAAGTGATCATAACTTGGACTTTCGTCTTCTATAATGATCACCACAATCATTTCTCTACTGTGACTTTCAGACAATTAAAATCAGGAGAAATTTAAGTTTTTCCTCATTTTCTGTATATATTCAACCAAATATCCCATACCATGGCTTTTCCAAATGTACTGACAGTAAGAGAAGGAAAGGTTCCTCCACAGCGTCTCAACACTATCTGGAGAAATTACACTAAAATCCTTATTACATTTACATTCACCATCTCTGATTGGAGTCTTTCCTAACATTATCAGAGCACTAATTAAATACACTTGCAGAATTTCTTACTTGACACATCCCCAAAGGCAAGGGAATCAAGAGCAAAAAATGAACTATTGGGACCTCATCAAGATAAAAAGCTTCTGCACAGCAAAGGAAACAATCAGTAAAACTAATAGGCAACTGACGGAATGGGAAAAGATAGTTGCAAATGACATATCAGATAAAGGGCTAGTATCCAAAATCTATAAGGAACTCACCAAACTCCACACACGAAAAACAAATAATCCAGTGAAGAAATGGGTAAAAGACATGAACGGACACTTCTCCAAAGAGGACATCCAGATGGCCAACAGACACATGAAACGATGCTCAGTGTCACTCATCATCAGGGAACTACAAATCAAAACCACACTGAGATACCACCTCATGCCGGTCAGAGTGGTGAAATGAACAAATCAGAGGACTCTAGATGCTGGCAAGAATGTGGAGAAACGGGCACCCTCCTACACTGTTGGTGGGAATGTAAACTGGCGCAGCCCCTCTGGAAAACAGTGTGGAGGTTCCTCAAAAAATTAACACTAGAACTCCCCTATGACCCAGCAATAGCACTGCTAGGAATTTACCCAAGGGATACAGGAGTGCTGATGCATAGGGGCACATGGACCCAAATGTTCATAGCAGCACTCTCAACAATAGCCAAAACATGGAAAGAGCCTAAGTGTCGATCAGCTGACAAATGGATCAAGAAGATGTGGTTCATCTATACAATGGAATACTACATGGCAATGAGAAAGATGAAATCTGGCCATGTGTAGCAACATGGATGGAACTTGAGGGTGTTTTGCTGAGCGAAATAAGTCAGGCAGAGGAGGACAGATACCACATATTTGTATGTATAGGTGGATTAGGAGGAACTGAACAGAGGACCATGGGGGAGAAGAAGGGAAAAAATAGTTGGGGAGAGAGAGGGAGGCAAACCATGAGAGACTCTTGAATGCTGAAACAAACTGAGGGCTGATAGGGGTGGGGGAGAGGGGAAGGGGGGTGATGGGCATGGAGGAGGGTGCTTGTTGGGATGAGCACTGGGTGTTATATGGAAACCAACTTGACAATAAACTATTTAAGAAAAAAATAAAAAATAAAACCAACAAAATAAATACACTTGCAAAAATCATAATAGCGCCTTTGACAAATAAAGCACATCTAGCACTGGTGAAAGCCTGGCAATAGTCTTCTGTTTAAAAATAGAAGACATATTAGAGTAATAAAGGTTTCCACTTTAGGGGGCACCTGGGTGGCTCAGTTGGTTAAGTGTCTGGCTGTTGATTATGGCTCAGGTTATGTTCTCACAGTTGTGACATGGAGCCCTGTGTGGGGCCCTGCGTGGACAGCATGGAACCTGCTTAGGATTCTCTCTCCTTGTCTCTCTGTCTGTCTCCTCAACTCGTGCGCTCGCTGTCTCACAAAAATAAATAAATGAACATTAAAAAAAGTTTCCACTTTAGGCCAAATTAGATTATTCCAGTTCCAAGATAGAGGATGGTTTCATGGCAATTAGAAAGAAATGGGCCTTGTGGAAAATTCCATTATTCATTCCTATCTATGCTACAGTAATTTCAGCCAAGCACCAAGCACCACACTGCAGGCAGGAGAAACTGTATTCTGTCCATTTGTTCCCTTATTCAACATTCCAGTAGTGTAACACAGTGTGGTAGGCACTAGGTAAACAGTAGTAAACAAAACCATGACTGTCCTCGGAGTTCACAGTCTTCTCAAATATCTTTTGTGGTAGGTTTTAGCTTTAATTTTCTTTCTGGGTGTTGCCTAATTCTGGTCTTGATAACTAAAAAGAGGCTCAGGATATGATACATCACAGCTGTTGGGCAGGAGGCAGGACCTCAGAGGAAGTGATGGGCAAGGAAGGAGCTGCTGCTAGGGAAGACAGGGCACACACAGAGATGCAACCAAACCTCAATCCAAGGAGCATTCGTTTCATATTGCTTTCGTAGCAAATGACCACAAACTTAGTAGTTTAAAACACACAAATTAATTTTTGTAGAGTTCTGGAGGTGAGACATCATGAAGATGTTGGCAGTGCTGCATTCCTTTGGAGGCTCTACAGGGTAATCTATTTCCTTACCTTTCCAGCTTCTAGAGGCTGCCTTTATTCCTTGGATCCTGGTTCCTTCCTCCATCTTCAAAGCCAGCAGCATAGCATCCTCACATCTCTTTCTCTTTTCTTCTCACTTCTGATTTGATTGTCAATATTCTCATACTGGTACTCCTACCCCTTCTTATAAGGACCATTGGAATTCCATGGTGTCCACCTGGATAATTCAGTGTAATCCTCCCATCTGCAGATCCTCAATCTAATCATATCTACAAAGTCCCTTTTGCCACATAAGGTAACATATTCACAGGTTCTGAAGATTAGGAAGTGAACGTCTTAGGGGGCTATTATTAAGGCAAAGCAAATAGGAAAAAATGTTTGCCTGCTTTACACCTTGAGTCAACTAACTGCACACTGGCATTCTGCAACTTTTTTTCTACTTCAGGAGCATCTTGATTATCCGTTTTAATTAGCTTTTCTTTATAAAAATGGTGGTGGGTAGTCCCCCACTGATATTTCTCTGAGGCCTTGTAACTCTCGAACACAAGCTTTTCTCACAAGTTAACAAACTAAAAACTGGAGACCCTGACATCCCTCTAAAATGAACTCTATGAACTGACTGCCATGAATACATAGTTCATTAGGGCCAAACTTTCCAACCTCTCTGCAGAACTGAATTAGTTAATAGATTAATAGTTTATGGGACTGAAAATAGCTTTTCTAATTTCCTGCAGAGAGGAGCAACAGTTAGCTAACTGACCCTGGCTTAATTCCTGCAAACATTATGTAGCACAGACTCTTCTTTGATGCATATTATAAATTTAGAACTAGCAAGGAATACTATACATCACTTAGGTGGCTAAACGCTGAGTAGTTTTTCTCCCATAAATGTTAGAGGTTGGAATTGATACTTTCATGCCATTTCTACTGGAGAAAAGAGAAATTGCTATTCATCTGAGTTTGAAAGTAAAGATCTTTGTTTCTGGACATTACTGGGTAGCAGGTAAAAGATTTATCTTCCTGTCTAAAAAATACATACGCAGACCCAGTAAAACATGTTTTCAGACAACAAGCAGTGTAGTGCTGGCACAGCTACAACTACCCCAGCTTAGACGCTGGAGGCAGTTTACAGATGCGTCGCTGGGAGTGCCCTCACTGCCTTCAGTTTCTGAGTCCGAAATAACATTCAACTACATACGTCAAATTACTGCCTCAACCCACTAAACCCAAACAAGTAAATCTAAAGATAACAAGCTGGAACCGCAAGCGAGGGCGGAGCAAGCAGCCAGTTGTCGGGTTCTGAGGAGATCCACGGCCCTGACGTCACCCTCGCGGAGACTCTCGCGGGACTCCAGGGTGGGTGGCGCGAGCGCCGGCTTGCAAGGGGGCGTTTTCTGTGAGGAAAACAGCCGTTAAGCTGTCGTTGGTCAGGCTGCTGTTAAATATGAGCGGCCAGGATGGTCCTGAGACGTCTTCGTTTCCCCAGACCCGCAGTCTCACGACTCTCGATCGTACCGCAGGAGACCTCGACCCACACCAGGGCCTGAAAGTCCGTGAGGAAACCCAGGCGTCACAGGTGATGGCGGAGCCGGGTGAGGGAAGCTTGCAGACCGTCGCGTTCTCACCGCCTCAGCTTCCAGAGGAGCCGGGAGCCTTCCACTCCCGCGTGGGCTGTGGCCAAACTCCCCGGATCGGAGGAGGTGGGGATGGAGGTTTCCTAGCGAAAGAAGCCCAGCGGGCGGAGGCTCCGCCTCTTACGGAAGGCCTGGAAGCCGGGGCTGTGTCCGTGGCAACGGACAACTTGAAAAATGGCTGTCAGAGTGGGGAGCCGCGCAGCCCAGGTTGGGAGAAGCCCCCAGGAACCTGTGGTGCAGAGAGGTCGGGGTCTGAGGTGTTGGAAGAGGTGAAGACCAGTGAAGTGGAGACTGAAAAGTGCACCATTTTCTCGGTAGCGCTGGATGAGGTGGTGAAGGAGGAGGAGATGGTGGAGAAGGAAGAGATGGTGGAGAAAGGAGTGGAGGAGGAGGAGGTGGTGGAGCAGAAGATGGAGATAGAGAAGCAAGTAGGGGAAGAAATAGAAATGATGGAGGAGAATAGAGTGGTAGAGGAGGTGAATGAGGAAGCAGGGCTCCGACCCTTGAATATGGATCTCCGCATGAACCCCCTGGAAGCCATCCAACTGGAACTGGACACTGTGAATGCTCAGGCTGACAGGGCCTTTCAACAACTGGAGCAGAAATTTGGGCGCATGCGTCGTCATTACCTGGAGAGGAGGAACTACATCATTCAGAATATCCCGGGCTTCTGGGTTACCGCTTTTCGGAACCACCCCCAGTTGTCCCCCATGATTAGGGGCCAAGATGCAGAAATGTTAAGATACATAACCAATTTGGAGGTAAAGGAGCTCAGACACCCCAGAACTGGCTGTAAGTTCAAGTTCTTCTTTCGAAGAAACCCCTACTTCAGAAACAAGCTTATTGTCAAGGAATATGAGGTCAGAGCCTCTGGCCGAGTGGTGTCTCTCTCCACTCCAATCATATGGCGCCGGGGCCATGAACCCCAGTCCTTCATTCGCAGGAACCAAGATGTCGTCTGCAATTTCTTCACCTGGTTTTCAGACCATAGCCTTCCGGAGTCTGACAAGATTGCTGAAATTATCAAAGAGGACTTGTGGCCAAATCCACTGCAGTATTACCTGTTGCGTGAAGGAGTGCGTAGAGCCAGACGTCGTCCAATAAGAGAGCCTGTAGAGATCCCTAGGCCCTTTGGATTCCAGTCTGGTTAATCTCTGCCTTTGGAAATACTGCACAGGGTCCCTTACCACATCTTGCTGGACCCGTGCTTGGACAACAAGAAATGGGTATGCCTTCTACCTTTTTTTTTTTTTTTTTCCTTTTTTTTCTTTATTCTCCTGACATTTCTACAACTTTTTTCCTCTGGATAGTTTTCTCAACCTCAAGATTGAGATTTTCAAGGCCATACCCTTCCATTTCCACATGGCCTTCGTTTTGTTCTGCATTACTATCACATGCTGTGTGGTCATGATACACATCACTCCTAAGCGAAGCAAATGCTGCTGTAAATTGCATTGCCCTTATATGCACTGCATGGGCCCTGTTTGTTCCTAGGGCTTTTTGTCTGACTCTTTCCACCTGGAATTGTAGCTTTATCTAGGAGCCATTCTGCCCACTCTGCTCTGCAGTACAGGCATGTAGCCTGTGGACAATTGTGGGGCATTAATGATATCGAGAGAGCAGCAGTTGGCCAGCTGGTCTGATTTATATGACTCCATTGCTCTTCTTGCACCTCTAGTTACCTCCTGCTGCCTACTACTGGCTATGCCCACCCACCTTGGGATACTACCTACTGGATGAATACCTTGCAGATCATTGTCAGCCCCACTGTGGTCTCATTTCTTTTAAAGAAGAATCCCTAGAGCTGGTGATGGACCCAAATTTCCTACCAGCACACAAAAGATACAGTCCTTTCCTAAAAGACCTTGATTCCATCCTCCCCCCCGCCCCCCGGTTCATGATCCAGATCCCTACTGTCAGGCAAGTAGTTAAGGTGACAAGTTAGACTTTATTCTTATTGCAATAGTAAGGATGGTGTCCATTCCAAGTACCAGGCTTTCTCAGCCTCCACTAGTAAATTCACACAAAACCTAGGTATACCTCTTTGTGCCTCTTTTCCTTACCCTGAACATGATTAAGTGCCAGAGTGGTAGTACACTTTCTCTCTGTCTGCCTCTTGTCTCTTAAAAAAAACATGATAGCTCAAAAGTAGGCGTTTTAATTTAGTTTTAGCTCTTCATTATTTCCAGGGACAGGTTGTCCTGTAAAAATAGACTGCTAGAGCATTAAGTTCCCTCTGCTCTCTTCCCCATCCTCCATTCCCTTTAGCGACACCCAGAGGGTTGAAAGGGAGACAGAGCTAGATGAAATGAAAAGTGGTATCTAGTTCATAGTCGATGGAAGAACTAGAGATTTTGATGGGTGCTCTAAGCCGGGGAAACAACAGATGACCACAGGCAAAAATGAGCAAGATAAAAATTGGGCCTCAGATTAAGGAGGCTTCAAGGAAAAGGTTCTTTTTCTGACAGTGGTAATGGGAGGAGAAATACTTTTTCTCAGGATTTCCATGGGAGAATTGTTAAATGTGTTGCTCAGAAAAGAATACTTTAAAGAAACAAAGCAACTTTGGGTGCTTTCTCTTATTTTCATTTAATTTATGTGGAAGGTTAATATCGTGTTTTTTGTTTCACTAGTGTTTAGTAAAATAACATTTTCTGTTTCTGCTTAATGAGAAAATTGAGTTGTACAGGCTTTCTTTTTGCTTTCAGTTGGGAACATTTGGAAAAATAACAGCTTTCCTGTAAGATATAGAGACTTAAATGAATATGAGTTTTCAACTTGTTTTTGTTAAAACTGTGTCCTTAGAAATATAATTTGAGTAACTTGGTTTTGTCAGATTCTGAAGACTGGAAATTGTTGTCTTCATGGAAAAATAACCTACAAAAAAATGTTTGACTTGATTGTCTTTCTTGATAATTTACCCTAGTAACAACTTGGTAAACAATGTGTCTTTTTTCCTAAATATCATAAATACTTGTGAGCTTGCTCTTTCAAATTGGAAATGTACCATTGGGATATTTGTCCTTCTGTATATGCATCGTGATAAAATAAAAGCATGTTACTGTGCTAGTTTCTTTTTTTTTTACCCTGCCCATAAATGTGTGAAGAAATTGTTCACAGTAATAAAAGATTATGGAGTTACTGAAATTGTAAAAATGGATACAATAGACATTATCTCAAAAATAAGAATCTAGGGCACACTACTCTGTACCTTGTATGGTTGGGAGGGTTGTTGCTGTTGTTTTGCTTTAGTTCACAATTGCAAATGCTTACTCATGTTGTCACTTTTTTCCATACAGCTTGTTCAGCACCACCACTCCCTTCCTTAAAGCTTCCATTTCTATCTCTGTCACTGATATTCTCAGGTCATTCAGGTTTTTGTTTTTTTTTTAATTTGCTTGTGCATTTAATAAGCAAACGTTCAGAGAGTTTCTCTCATAAGTGATAAACTCTTCTATCATAATACTTTTTCAGCTGTAAAAACTTACTCATTCCTTTCTTCAAATGTCCCCACCTTCTATTTGTGTCAGTTTTTTCAAGGCCTGATAACTCTTCTGCCTGAACAGTTTTTCTGTTCCCCTTAGGGAAGATGAAATATTTCCTCAAGTACTTGGTGTACTTACAGGGACTTCTATTCTAGAAAATAACACATAATTTGTTAACAGTGAATTCCACAAATATTTATCAAGGCATTCTGTCAGGCCTTCAGAGGATAACAAAAAGAAGATAAAAGTTATTTCCTTTATTGTTAAAAACTGGGGGAAGGGGCTCCTGGGTGGCTCAGTGGGTTAAGCGTCCAATTTACTGCTCAGGTCATGATCTCACAGTTCATGAGTGTGAGCCCCGCTTTGGGCTCTGTGCTGACAGCTCAGAGCCTGGAGCCTGCTTTGGATTCTGTGTCTCCCTCTCTCACTGCACCGCCCCTGTTCATGCTGTCTCTTTCAAAAATAAACATTGGAAAAGTTTTTTTTTTTTAATTAAAAAAAGGGGGAAACTGATAAGCAAACAAATAATACAGTGATGCAAACAAGTAATACAGTGAGGCAGTAAAATACAAAGATGCATTTTCACTCTTTCTAGTTTGGAAACTAGTTTCCTATCTAGTTTGGAAACTTTGTGAAAGCAGAGATGATGGGGTAACTTTTATATCTCTCACTGCTTCTATCGTATTTTGCACATAGTTTTTACCAGGTAAATATTGGATGAGAAAGTGAACAACTCAAATGGGAAAAAATAATAAAATAACCTAGTACCCAGAAAGACTTGATGAGGTAATGGCAAGAAGATGGTTTTCCAGACATTTGTAATATCGATGTAGAAAAATTTACAAAACTAGGATACCTAGCTGGCTCAGCTGATAGAGCACATGACTCTTGATCTCAGGGTTGTTAAGTTCTAGCCCCACATTGGGTGTAGACTTTACTTAAAAAGAAAAAAAAAAAAAAGACTTAAAAGAAACTTACCCCTTTGGAGTGCCTGGCCAGCTCAGTCAGGAACGCATACGACTTTTGATCTCAGACTTGTGAGTTTGAGCCTTACGTTGGGTGTAGACATTAAATAAAAATTTACAAAGCCTTTCTTAAAAGCAAATTTCTTGTTTAGATAATTAGAAAATTCTAAACCCTGTAACATGTATCTTTTCACTTGCCATTTTAACTTTGGATCAACTTTTATGTGCTGTTTTTGTACATTTTCAGGTGACTATTAAACTTGGAGTTAGAAGGGAGTTAGACTTGAGATATGCTGGGTGTATAAAATACACACTGGATTTCAAAGATTTAGTATGGAAAAAATGTAAAATACCTCAATTTTTTATATTGATTGCATATTGAAATGGTAGTATTTTTGATACATTGGTTAAATATATTAATAAAAATTTCCCCTATTCATTTCTTTAAATGTGGCTACTGGTAAATTTTAAATTACCTAGGACAGCATGGTTCTAGACCTCTTGAATATCTCAAAGGATATAAAATACATGTGAAAATTTCAACTTTCTCCTCATGAAGTTTTTTTTGTGATTTTTATGACAGTGGTTATCTAGCTAAAATTAAGGTAGGTAAAGTATAGCTAGAGGCCAATGGATAAAGAAAAGTTAAAATGAAATATCTTTTATCAACTTGCCCTTGAGTACTTAGGAGATACTTAGTACTTGCAAAACATAGTTTCTGGATATAAATAGAGTAGATCTGGGGGCCAAATTGGCACTGATAGTTATTATATTAGCTATTTAAAGTAGTCCCCTTGGGGAGCCTGGGTGGCTTAGATGGTTAAGTGTCCGACTCTTGATTTCACTTCAGGTCTTGATCTCAGGATTGTGACAAGCTCTGTATTGTGCTCTGTGCTGGGTGTGAAGCATACTTAAAAAAAAAAATAAAAAATGAAGTAGTCCCTTAACAAAAAAAGAAAAAAAAAGTCCCTTAACACTTAGGATCTATAGCTTCATATTTTTCTAGAATAAAATGTTTTGTAATTTTGGCTTACAGATGTACATGAAGCTCAGAAAATAAAATCTCAGTCATCAATTATACCATTTTGTGTATGTTAACAAAGTCTCTAAATTTTAACAATTGGCCAGGCAACAGAAAAAGAATCTGAATATAGCTTTGTGCCAAGTCAACTCAATGCTCACCACTTGAAGCATATTTCATTTTTGAAAATTAGTGTAGCCTTGCAGTACAACCTTGCAGCAATTATTATTTTGTATTGGTTATTATGTTAAGGATTATATGGGGATAGTAAAGTGAAGGTTGTCCTTGCAATTGAGGAACTCATGGTCTCTGAGGAGGGAGTATTGTTTCTTGAATGTTTACTCTTCAGCAAATTCACATACTCAAACCAGTCACGCACACAAGAAAACTCAGGATTAACATGGCAAAGAGGAGGTGTCAGAGATGATCAGGACTGTCCCTTCAGAACAACTCACCCTCCCTCAAGGTTAATCTATAGCTGAAGTCCTAGACTATGGATGTGACAGATACGATATTTATCCATTCACTATATATATGGGAGCTATTTCACTTGTGAGCAGTACTTTCTCCATGTTTGCTTGAAGTGCTTTGTTTTAGCTTTGAAGGGCCACTTTAATTCATTTCCTCTGACCTCAGGGGTTCTCAAGACTTAAAGAAGAGTTTCTGTCAGGCCGCATTAGGGAAAAATGTCTACTTTTTGGCTTTACTTTTTTCAGGATTAATGTAATTAATGTAAATTTTTTTGAGACCAGGTCAGGAAGAAATGGTTCTATAAAAATAAAGAGGACCACTTAGGTAAGCTGCTATTTTTTAAAAATACCCAGATGTCTTATTAGTAGCCTAAAGAGACAGGGAGTCACACTAGCTTTAAGTTGGGATTAAATCAGTTTTACAATCTACAACCTATCACATTAGCCAAAATAAATACCTTCTGAGTCTTGGTTTCCTTGTCCATCATGCAGGGATGATAATACCTACATTATAAGCTAATATTCTCCCAGGATGTATTTGGAGAATGTCAATATAAGGTTGTAGAGAGGATAACAACATACATTTGCGAGTTTACTATGTGCCAGGCACTGTGCTAAAAAATTCCAAGTATTAACATAGTTAATACAGGTTAGAGTGTGAAAATGCCAAGCACAATATATAATATGTAGTAAATATTAACTCCCATTTTAAAGTATTCATATGCTGTGAATTAGGCTTTTTCGTGTTACATTTAAAAAAAATTTTTTTTTAAATTTATTTTGAGAATGAGAGAAAGCACAAGCAGGGGAAGGGAGAGAGGAAAGAGCGAGAATCCCAAACTCCCATCTGTCAGTGCAGAGCCTGATGCACCAAACCATGAACCATGAGAACATGACCTGAGCTAAAGTCGGACACCCAACTGACTGAGCCACCCAGGCGCCCCATTCATATTACATTTTATTGAAGTTTGTTTCCAACACTTTACATGTATCTATATTAATTTTTATTCTATTAAATTAGGCTAATTCTTTTAATATATTTGCATTTGGAGGATCATTAATTATTTCTAATGAGTAATTTTACCCCCTAATTTCATATCATTTGCAAATCTGGTCTGTAGCCAGGTCACTGTTGAAGTTCTCTCAGAAAGCTTCCTTTCTGAGTGACATCGTATATTTAGGATCTTTCTATAACTATGGGTCTACCTACTCTCTCCTCTACACCCCCCACCTCCAGGCCCCACCTCATTTTAACTTTCTCCTAGGGCATCAGCAAGCAACTCTTTAGAAATTAGGGAATGATGTCCCTTCCAGGCTGATGGATGAAAATTCCTCCCAGATGCATTCCGTAATAGTCGATATACTTTGTCTTTCAAATTCCCTTGTCAAAAAAGGAAACAATAATCTTTTTACCTTTCACTGTGCTTTTTTTTAATGGCAGTATTACTATTTTAATATTACTGTTTCAACGGTGGGTTTTAAATTTTTCAAATCAAAAAGTTGGAGAAATATTTAAAATATAGCTAATCTTTTATCAGTCATCAAAAATAGAAAAAAATATATTACAAAAGTATACAGATAAAGGTAAAATTGATAATCTTGATTAATTTCCATCAAGGTAATAATAATACTCATATTTAAAAGATTGTTCTATAATTGAGAGACTGTAAGAGGTAAGCAGGAAGCACAGATATTAAAGTGAAGAGTTATCAGTGATGTTGGGTTATTTCCTACAGCTCTAGATAGACCCAATTGAGACATTGCCTCAAAATGACCACTTAACCTAGAAACTTAAACTTATTTTCAGATTCATGAACTCCTCTACAAAATTCTAGAAAGGTGGGCCTTCTTATTAAGGGCTTGATTTCAGCACACATTTCTTGAGGCTGAGGTCCACTAATAGAGCAGAGGTTTGCATTGCAGATTCAATCACAGCAAGTGGATGCATGATTCATACATGTAAGCCTATG